AAATGAGGTACGGCAGCATTATGTAACACCAATACTGTTCCGAGATTACCAATATGCACCCGTGTTTCCCTTTTTTGAATAAAAATAAATGCAAAAGCTGAGTTCAATGCAATTCTATATTAACTTCAACTTGGCCGCTAGACGTTGCTTGGCTGTAGTCGGCTTCTTCTTCGGCGGAGCACGTGGATGGGACGAGCTTGCTGGAATGTTACCATCAAATTGGAGATATATTAGTGCACGTTTACTATTAGATCCCGCTATTTTCCTCAGCGCTACTGCAGCTGAGGGGCCACGCGCATATGCAATTAAATCCAATCCAAGGCGCCTCCCACCGGCGACTGCACGTTGCGGGTAGTGGCGTTCAGTAACGTGCCTATAGACGCTCTGTGAGAAGAAAAACGCAAAAAAAATCATGGAGAACACCGTAAGGGTCCCTTGACAGCTTCACTGGACCATGTTGTCGGCAGATGCTCTTTTATGTCAGCAGAGCGGTGTCCTGCCCCATCTGGCTCACAAATCGTTCCTTGCGTAATCCGTTGTTGATACCTTACAGTGAGGAAAAACGGTGCAAAAATGAGTTCGTGCGAGAAGCAGCCCTTGAGTTCTGCTAGGCGGAGCAACAAGGCATCAGAACTGCGACTTATGAGCGTCGAAGTGCCTTCGTTACTTATTGTAAAGCCGCGAGAGTGGGACAATCTTGGAAATTGAGAGCCAGCTACTTGTACACATACGGACGCCTACGAAATGGTTGAGCGCACGAACCCTCTTTAACCACAGTAGCGCTTTTTACTGTTGACACTGAATAAACAAATGCATCTAAAATCAGCTGCTTCCCGTGCATACTTCTCAAACAAATGAAAAAAGTCAAAAAGAAGACAAGAAAAGCGCAGAAGACGGTCATGCAAAAGGAAGAGGACTCGTGCTCAGCCATGTCGACATGTGCTCCCTTGCTTGATCCAGAAGCGCCTTTTGCTGCGTATCAAATGTGAGATAAAGCTTTTTCGCATTGTAAAGACAGCAACAAAGATGTACCTGATGGTGGTCCGATTCTGTCTCTTCCCTTCTTCTTATTCATTTCACGAAGCATCTCCGCTTCCTCCTCTTCACATGCCCTTTCCATTTCTGCTTCATAAGATACCACTTCACGTAGAGGTAACTGATCGCCAATTTCTAAAAATAAAGTCTGTAGAGAAGACCGAATGAAGTGCGCCCTGAAGAGCCCTAGACGAAAATTAGATTACTTCCACGCCGGACCACCCCTCTTGACGTCATCAAGCCAAAGATGAAGAGGACTGACCTTCTAACTGTTTCGATGTTTTCTCTAACTCATCTAATCCAACAGCCGCTGCAAGCCAAGCGGCTGGACGAGGTTTCCGTCCACTATGACTTCGACGAGCGAACATCTGAGCCATATTGACGTCCTCCAGCATTGGATCTGGTTTGTCCTCTATCGCTGACTCGTACTACAAAACGAGAAAATGAAGGCGATGAAAAAGAAGAAATCACGAGAAACATGCAAAACAAATCGTCGGAATGCCAACACACACTCTTTCCCTTTTTGGTTAGTTTGAGTCGGAAATCCATCACCACGTCAGGGTCCGTTACCTCAGAAGGCAATTCATCTCTGGAAACGTCAACTCAAAAATTACGACAGAAGCATAGAAATTGCTAAGATTACCCTGCTGACGGTGTTGCTACTTTCTCAGGTATCTCCTTCTCCTTGGGCGCAGATGTGCTCTCAATTGGCGATAGTCTACTTGAACAAGGTGCCAAACTTGATGAAGAAGGGCAGCCCCGGTTGGATGAAGCTGAAAGTCACATCTCAATCACAATTCGCACAACAGTATAGAGAGATGCAGCCCACTGATTAAGGAATAACTGGTATAAGGAGCGATATTTCCACTCTAGATGATACACCGATTTCCTTGACCATTAACTATCGCCTTCTTTCGCTTATGAATTTTCATATGGAATCGAAAATAATAATACGACACCTTTATTCTTTTAACGAAATTTGAAGCCGCGAAGGACAATGAATTCAATATAAAGCCTAGATATCATTGATATAAATAAAGCTAAC